TTAATAGAAGAGTAGAAACTCTTCTAAGAATCAATCTATAAGCTCTTTTATTATGAGACAGAGATCTTGCAGATTTATATGAAGAAGAATCTGAAGAATGACTTTATTCAATCTTCACAGATCTCTGCAGAAGTCTCTGTGATATTTGTAAAGAAGAAGAATAAAGATCTTAGATTATGTATAGACTACTGTGATCTGAACTTCAAGATAATAAAGAGTTACTATTCTCTGTCTCTGATTGAAAATGTGATCAACTGTCTCATGAGAGCTGTCATATTCATATAACTGAATGTGATCAATATATATACACAGCTATAAATATAGTCTGAGAATAAATGAAAAACTGTCTTTAAAACTGCACTGAAATTGTTTGAATATCTAGTGATGTCTTTTAATCTGACTAATATCTCTGCAGTATTTCAGTCTTTTATTAATAAAACACTTTATACATATCTGAATGTCTTTATGATAATATATCTGAATGATGTGATAATATACTCTGTGAAGAAGAAAGAATACACTGAGTATATACAAAGTATATTAAAGATCTTAGATGAGGCAGAACTGTATATTAAGCTTATAAAGTGCAACTTCAGTGTCTGTTAAATTAATTTTCTAGAATATGTAATTACTGCAGATGATATTTAGATGAAATCTTCATAGATTGAGACTATTCTATTATAACTGAAGTTAACTAGTATTTATAAGATTCAGATCTTTCTAGACATTGTGAATTTCTATAGATAATTTATCTTTATATTTATAAGAATCTTCTTAACTCTTACAGACATACTGAAGAGTGAAAATAAGAAGAAGTTATTCTATAAATAAAGAATGAAAAGATTATTAAGAAGAGAGAGTAATAAGAACTTTCTTATCTCAGAAGCTTATAAGATCTTTATAAGATTAAAACAGATATTCATAGATACAGTGATACTATTTCACTTTAATCTCTTACTCTTAATCAGATTGAAGACAGATATCTTCTTCTTTATAATTTCAGAAATAGTCTCATAACTACAGTTAAATAAGAACTGAGTTTCAGTGACTTTTTTCTTACAGAAGATACAATCTACAGAGATCAACTATAATATTCATAATCAGAAGCTTCTTATAATAGTGAAATTCTTTCATCACTAATATCACTACTTTGAGAGTCTTATAACAGTGATTACTGTTAGAACTGATTATAATAGCTTATAACAGTTTACTTCAATCAAGAAACTCTTACAATAACAGATTCACTGAGCTCAGAGACTGAGTGAGTTCTGATTCAAGATAGAATATATCAAGAGAACTAAGAACTCAGTAGACAGACTCTCTTATAGATCAGACTATATTAAGAAGATTAGAATAACAGATATAGAGAGATTAGAGAAGACAGAAAAGCTTTATAAAATGCTTAAGCTGAGTATTATAAAGAGATTAACTGAAGAGTTCTTCAATTTCTTATAAGAGAAGAGAGAAGAGAGAGAGAAGAAGTCTGTATAACTACTCTCTATAACACTGAGAGTTAACACTCTGAAAATCTTTATAAGAATTCTTAAAGAGAGTATCTATAATCTGAAGTAGACTGGCCGGCGGGACCATGAATTTCACATTTGATCCCATTTGGTCTGGTCTCATACATTTCTTGGCGTGAGTCCCACCAGGACCAAGCCTCAAAAAAATCTGAAAATGGACCATTTCTGAGAGAAATGACGTGAAAAATGACCAGATTTAATTCAAGAACAGTGAAATGGGAGTAATTTCTCAGGATAAACTGTGAAAGATGATCATTCTTCCAAAATCAGAATGGGACTGGGACTGAAGGTTAAAATCAGTCTCATTCAGTTCATTCAGTGATTGCTTATATAATCAGAATTTGGTAACAATTATTGATAATGCTCATGAAACAACTAAATACATTCTTGTGCAAGTTTATTCTTCACTTTCTCATGAAAACTACACTTCTCTGATATACTGTGATCAGAGGTATTAAACTGTCTGATAATTCCATGTTTTATAATCATGAGTTTCTTGATTATTTCTCCTTGTAATTGTCCCTGATGATAGTGATAAATATCTCAACTTGAGTTGAACTTTCACTCCATTCTCATCCCTGTCAATGGAATTGTCAGAATATCACACGCCATCAGTGCAATAGTTGAATATGTACTCTTAACAATTTTTCATAACTCTAGAATTGATTTGGTGTGTAAATTTGTCGGATCATCTTGAAGATAACAGTCAAATTCAGTTTTACAAGCATGTAGTTTTGCCTGATTTTCAGTTACAATCAATGTATGTAAGTCCTGTTTCAAAGTTAGTATTATAGTTCTATGAGATATGAAGTGTTACTAAAGATCATTACTTACTAGGGAATTGTATTTCACTGTCTTCATATCTTGAACATCTGCTCATTCAAATCTCTGATAGTTGGCATTGTAGTAGTCTCAGGCTAATTTGACATATGAGTCTCATTCCTTCTCTGTCCAATCTTGAGAAGTGTAGATGTTAACTCAACAGAAGAAATCTAGTAGAGCTGCTACAGCATAGTACTCTGCAAAAGATTGTTCAGTTTTGCTGTAATAATATGCCAGTTTATTCCTTACAGCAATAATAGCCTGCGCTATAGCATTATTTCAGACTGAATTTCTTTTTAAGTGATTCAACTGCTTCTCAAGATGAGCAAATAAACTGTTATATACTCATCAGGCTGACTGCAGCATTGATGTACAAGTGATTGAGACTGTCTTTATTGTCTTATAAAACTGAAACAGTAAATCAATCATATATTTCAACTGAGTTCACTTCATATCAGAAAGTTTCAATATCTGGATCTTTTCTCAATCAGAGTGTTGCACTCAATGATCAATTGTCTGATGCAATCAAAGAGTCTGAACAGTTATCTCATATATTGAACTTCATCATGTTCTAACATTCTGTATCATATTCAGTGATGTGACTGATTTGTTTATTTATTGAATATCATGGAATTGTTGTTGTTGTTTAGAAGAGGTACAAATCACATTAGCAATGTTTCAAATCTATGATATTTAAATTATTAGTCAATCTATTCAAAATTAACAGTAGCATTATCAAAAAGCATTATCAAAAAGCAATATTAAAAAGTGTTATCAAAAAACATTATCTTTTGCAAAGTGAATGTAAAAGTTACTTGAGTAATCACTTTCATCTCATTCTCATTTCAAGAACCAGTCATCTCATTATTCTTCATCTCAATGTTAAGATTCTTTATCAGTGTTTGCACTACAAGTTGAATCACATGAGTAATACAGGGGATATGACCTTGTTTATCATTTCAGGAATGCAAAGCCAATTTTTGCTTCAAGCTCTTCATCATAGTGTAGTTATTTGCAGCATTGTCAGTTATAATTGCAAGAAGACTGGGACTAATATCTCAATAGTCATTTTTAATCACAGTCATTAATATCTCTGTTATATAATCCTCAGTATAACTACTGATCAATGATTCAAATTCAATTAATGTCTCTTGATAAGTTCAGTTCTCATCAATGTAATAACATGTAACTCTTATAAATGCAAGATTGTTTGTACTAGTTCATGTATTCACAGTGAGAGACACTCTTTGATGATTCTTCAACTCTGATTCTAGATGTTGTATATTGACTTTGTAGTGTGTCTCAAGGTTGGACTGAAGACAGGATTGATGTGGAATATGAAGATTTGAATTAAGCATTTGAAGAAGTGTTCAGAATTCGGGGTTTTCAATTGATCAAAGAGAAAGATTCAGAGATATACACATGTGAAGTAATTGTTCATGAAAGTTATCAGATGAGAGTTGTGAAATCAGAGTACTGATATATAATCATTTTCACATGATTTTCTTCAAATTAGAAAGTTAGCATTATCAAAAATCATTACCTGATAGAGTAACTTACCAGCCCAGTAGTAATTTTCTGATTATTTTCCTTTTATTGTCTGCATTCTGATGACTTCAGATGTTGGAAAATTCCTTCAGAGCTATGATCAGTTCATGATGAATGTTTCTGAATGAAGTTGCAGTGATTGCAGCAGAGAGATGACTCTCTGGTAATCTGCAATGCAACCTGTTGATAATTATTTCATAGTTCATCTCAATATTTGTGTTGAGTTTTTCATAAATTTTGTGACCTGAAATCAGATGTGAAGAATGAAGTGATTATTCATCATGATTGAAAGAGAGTATTCTGTATTGAATTGTAAACAATGTAGACTTTGTGATTTACAGTGATTTCTTGAAGAGTTTGTGAATCTTCAGTAGAAGTAAAAGAAGTGAAAGAAGTGAATTCAGAAGACATGATAATAATTTAAGAAAGATGATAATTTATTTTCAATAACTGATCACTGATGTGTGTAAGAAGAATTAATATAAGAGAAAATAATCTTGTTTCTTAGCTTAGTTATAATTTTAGTACTAACTCAGATTGAATATCATTGATGTGTGGTTCGGAAGAACGTACGACCGTCGGATAATACCGCGGCCGCTTCCGAACTACTAGCGTACGCGTACGAGTGTAAAGGGGCCATAGCGGCCGCTAATTAAATTAGCGTACGAGATTCAATATATAAGAAGCCGGCGTACGCCTGTAATCGTACGCTGGCTGAAGCAACCTTTGAATCACAGATGTATAAAAGTAAACAAACAATCTTGATTAATCTCTATCATATTTCTTGAAATATATTAATATTGTAAAAGAGAGTGTTATCAAATTGCATTATCAGATAATATCATTAAAAATATATTAATATTGTGAATATCAATATTGAAAAAATGTTGATACTTATACATTATAGTGATTTGTGAATCATGATAGTTAAATATATATATATATATATATCATTCCTGACTTGATTACAACTTGTACAATAATTTTTGAAAACTCAAAATCAATTTTAATTATTAATAATTAAAAACTTAAACTTATAACTAACTAATATAAAAAGAAAAAAATCTACTTCTTCTCTTTCTCATTCTTCTTATCATTCTTCACAATTCACTTCTCATTCTTCTTCTCCTTCTCCTCCTCCTCATCTGAGATAATAACCATCTCAAAATCTCTCTCCACTGCCTTCTCAGAGGAGGGTTCCCACTGCTCTCTCTCAGCCAGGTCAACCTGTGCCTCAAAATCCCGCATTTCCTGGTCTGCTGCCTCGGGTTCCACCTCAGTGGTAAGCAGATTGACATGCTCAGAGAGCAGGGCTGCCTTCTCAATGTCCTGGATCATGGAGTGCATTTGAGACCTGAACAAGGCCTCAATCCTCTTCTCCTCTGTCAGCTCCTGCTAATCAATTAGAGAACAGAAGTATTATCAAAAATCATTATCTCTCAATAAGTAAAAAACTTATCAGTTTTGACTTCTTTATCTCCTGCTTCAATACTCTCTCAATCTCCTTCTATCACTGCTTATTTGCAGTAATACTCTTCTTCTCTCTCTCTCTCTTCATCTTAAACTCAAATCATTCTCAGAACTTCTTCTGGTCTCACTGCTGCTGCATGAGGCTCTTCACTGTCTTCTTCTTCAATCTCTCACAGGTGATGTCATCTGCATTATTTCTATACTTAGTTCAGTCTAAATCTATCAGAAGTGTTACTTAAAATTGTTATCATTCTGCTCTCTTACAGAGTCTCTTCAAGGCATCATAACATGTCTTGTGATCTGTCTCTTCTTGCTTGAATGCCTTCTTCTTCTCTTCCTTCAATCTGTGATGACGCTCATGCGCCTTGGTGGTCTGCAGGACTGTAGAATATTTGAAGAGGAATGACATGATTGGTTTCAGTGAGTATTGAAGAGAGGTGAAGGCAGGAGAGGCGGCCAGAAATAATATGATAATGATAATGATGATGATGATGATGATGATGATAATGATAGTAATAGTAGTGATGATAGTGATGATGTTGATGATAGTGATAATGATGATGATGATAATGATAAAAGAGGAAGTGTATTGAAATATATTACTGACTTATCAAATATAAAGAGACAAAGAAAATATTAACAGCTTTCAGAGATATATGAAAACAGCTACAGTGTTGCATAGCAATATCATCTTCATTCAATGCATGCAGTGTTGATATTCTTTATATGCAGTTATCATATAATCTATATCAGAGATACATGCAGAAAACAGATCTTTGTTACTAGAGAGAATGATTGCAGTGATTCTCTATTTTCATATTATAAAGATAAGTTATTCTCATTTCTTTCTTCTCTCTTTTCTCTTCTTCTTCAATCCATCACTAAGTTCAAGCCAGTATGAAAACTATTAAAACACTCTTAGAAACCCTCAAATTGAAGAGTATAGACTAATCAAATTTTAAATACAGAAGAATCAAATTATATTCAACATTACTAATTATTCATTCTCTCTCAATAAAACCACAGTTGTGTCTTCCCCTCCCCTCTCAAATGAAACATGGCCTGTGAAAAGTGAGTACTATGCCAGGCCATAATGACCAACATGGCCCCAGCATGCAGGGCTGCATACACGCAGTGTGTGCTGGACTGGGAGACTGTGTGAGTTGCAAACCAGCACCAGCATCTCAGAGAGAGCTGTGTGGTGTGAAAAAGCTGCAACCCTTGACCATGTGTGCAGAGGATGAATTGTTGCAGTAAGTGCATGTGTATTGCATGGAAGTAATGCTTTTTGATAATACTCAGTCTCTGATATCATGAAAATAGAGTCTCTCTGTGAGATCTGTTTTTACCAGAAGTCAGAGAATCTTATATTTCTCAAGATCATCTTTGTCTGCCTTGTCTGTGAAATTGATGAGAGAAATCATTGATTTCAGTGTTCTGTTCTTGATGTTATTCAAGTGACAGCAGAGTTCACCCTGATCACACTTTTTAAGTGTATATTTTCTAAATATTCACATTTATACAGATATATACTGATTATTTATTAGATGATGTTAAGGCAATGACTCATCACAGCCATGTTACCCTCACTGTGAGAGATACATGATTGGTGATGAACATTGTGAAGACTCTGAGAAGTGAGTATTTTGAGAATGCTGTGGCCCTGTGATCTTGATTTTTTTTTTTTTTTATTTTTTGTTTTTTTCTTTTTCTTTTCTTTTTTTTTTTTTCTTGTTTTTGTTTTATTTTTTGTTTTTTGTTTTTTTTTTGTATTTTATATTTTTTTTGTAATTAAAATTATATAAATTATGATCTGTGTTCAGAAAAGTAATAATATTTGATAACACTCTCTGTTGAATTTTCAACAAATGAGCACTATGTTATGATATTATGTAAGTGAGAAGTGATTTCATGATCTCATTTAATGCCATTCTCAATAATGGGATCAGAATGAAATGTGACT